TTATTCCTTATTATATTTAATGTATTGTTTAATCGTATTATTAAAAAGCTGTCAACATCACGTTCTGACAATAGGTCAATAAATATCAATATATTATTATTACATGACATTTCGAAACTGTTGAAGGTTTCGCGCTCGGGACTTGCCAGACAAGAACCACAGCAACGTGAAACATAATACAAGTTGCACCAGCCAGTCCTAAGCTCAGCCATGCGAAGCAGCCAGCGGCTAAGAAACGCGACGTACGAATCAGATTACATCTTACGTTGCTGCTTATCTTTATTCTTCGCTTTACCTCGCTTCAATTCGCTTCATTTCGCTTCAGTGACAACCCTTCGATTGGCATCTTATAACCGGCCGGCTCCCCCCCCCCTCCCCCCCCGATACGTGCTCGCCCTTCAGAAGGGCTCTACAAAATTTTTAACGGTCGCGGATCTTTTTCACGATTTTGAATACGATTCACTCGTCTTACAAAATGTTTGTTAGTTAAATGAATCTTTTCATTGCTATGTTTTAAAATTACAGGTAGGTAAAAGGTACAAAAAAATGCTTCATATTCGTAGGAATAATTTTAAAAAATTTTATTCTTTACCACGTAAGCTTACATTTAACTGTTTTATCCTGTGTTCGTGTTTAGGATTATATTACTAGATATTAAATATTCCTTAAAATTAATTAACATTTACTCATTGTCGTTTCCGCTCGCTTGTAGAAAGACAGGCGCCTGAGCGCCTTGCGCGACTTGTATTAGTTGAGGTTGAGCTTGTATCGGAGCAGTTTGAATTATGATTGGCTGGTTACTACCACCCTGTACTTGCATACGAATCATTTGAAGTTGTTGAGGTGTTAATTGTATCTGAAAAGAAACACAGGCGTGAACGAAGATAAATTAGTTTGCTAAACGATATAAATAAAATATACGTACAGGTATTTGTTGTATTTCTCCACTGGGTGTTACAATTTGTTGCACTATTTGTATACCACCAGTTTGTGTGGTAGGCGTTTGCTGAGGTTGTTGTAATTGTATGACTTGTTGGCCCGACGTTTGCTGTGGACTTTGTACTGTTACCGTTTGCGTTGTGTTTGCGCTATTGCTTTCCTATATTTCACATAAACGATTAAACGATTCAGAAAATGATTAATACGTTTCTATTGGAAAAGTAAATAATATACCTGTTCTACTGGGCTACCTATATTGATCGTTTGTATCTGTCCTGTAGATGGTTGTACAATTTGTATGGGCTGTGTTGTTGCATTATTACTTTGAACATTTTGATTAGCAGACACCTGCTGCTGCGCTAATTGAAAATAGTAATGTACCTGATCCGAGTTCATAGATGTACGTACAGTACTTTCGCCCTGTGTTTTACTTTGTTTCAACTCATCTCTAGGCACTATATCGATAAGAAAATCAAACTGATCGTACTTGGTTATTGCCATTGCTATATCGTTTCGTTGAAGCGTGCGCCTCTTATTATCTTCCGTGTGCACCCACGCCCTTAATGTTAGTTCGTGTATAAAAATCTCCGCTGCTTTAGAGAACAACATAGGAGCTTCTGCGCTAATCATTTTCACATCACCATCTAATTTCATTATTTTCTTTATCCTCGCTAATGGTAATGATTGTGTCTTCAGGTCCATCTGTAAATGCATTCAATTCATTAGTATCGATCGTATAAAATTCACAATATTTATCGAATACTTACAGTAGTAATTTTTTTAATTTCCTCTGTAACCTTTGGCCAAAACTGAGCCAAAGCTTGTTGGGCTTCTGAATTGCCAGGTGATGCAATTTGTAAATCTCCATTAGAATCTCCTTCGACTTCGCTATCTTGGTTGCTGAATAGTTTAAAATAACAGCCGTTATTAATACCATTATTACAATGAAATAGAATATTATTTATTTCACTGGTTTCATAATCTTGCAAACATAATGTACGGCACATCCTTTTAAACTACGTTAACTATATAAATAATTCAAAAAACGTACATAACCTAACAGTGGGAAGGTAAATATTCTTACTTACGCATTCACAAAAAATACCGACATTTTTTATGAGTTAATTTTGAAACGATATAAAACAAAATTTGTTAAACTCTAAATACCATCCTGCAGCTTTTAATTAACACCAATTAACTTACAAATGTTTTAGTTTATTCACAATCACTGGAATTCACAACAGATTTATTGTTTGCATCAGCAAATGTGCTGCCTCCACTTTAGTGACTTTATTTTGCTTTGTAGTTCAATGCATCCATGAAAGATGGCAATAACACATATTTTCTGTAAAGGATATAGGCAATGTAATTTCCTGTTTTATCAATATTGTATACATTAGTTACCTACTTTTTCGATTATGTCAACATCATGATGATCAGTCAGTTCACCTTATCCCGGATCCCGGATATAATTAAAGTTTTCATTAAATTACTCCAACAAATGTAGAAACTTGAACAAGGAACAACAAGAAATTATAACGTAAGATTGTTTAAACACTGTACTAACTGCAGTAATGTTGGAAGTGTACTAGAAAGTTACAAATACGACAATTTCTTTTTTTAAGTGTAGTATGAATTTCTGTAGTATCAACATTTAAAAAATAATAATTTTTCAGTTTGTGCACGGATATACGATATGTATACACTCGGTGTCAGCTAAAAAGGTCACCTAAATTCTCTTCAACAAATCTTTTTATTTATGTATCAAAAAACCATTTTTTACGTGATGTGAATGGTAACCAACAAAAGTGTTTCTCTTTCAAGATAATTTTGTATAACTGAACAAATAATGTATTAACAATATGATAATATGACATTGAAATCACCTTGATCTCTCATCAGTTGTGTAGCAACATATGTTTCTTATATTCAGCTGATTATGTTTGGTAAAATATGCTTCTTCGATAAGTCTTTTAAAAAATGTGTTTGTCATTTCCGCACTGCTATGCAAAATCCCGCTAAAAAATATGCATTCTAACAAAATCTGTTATCCGTGAAAATCTTGCATTTTTATTCTTGCTATCATAAATTACGAAATACATATTTATCTGTTTCAAGTAAGTATACCTAGTATTGGTACTGTATCGATGAATACATTTTTCTATAATCGTACGAGTTTTATGATTCTGTGGTTACGCAAACCAATGTGGACTTGTGACCTAACGAGGAAAACATTGAACTTGTAAGACCAGATACGGTTAATCTAGGTTAATAAGTATTCTATTCTTACTTAGAGAATCTCATGTTGTGTATTAATATTTCGAATTTTTAGAATCCCTGGAAATCTTGAAAATTTTAAATGAATATTACAGATTTTTGTGGAACCTGAAAAAATTATACTAAACGTACGTACATAGTATACACAGTCAGTATAAAAATCTATATGTAATACCCGTTAATTAGAAATTTTCGTAATTTATACAATTATATATGTTTTAAGAGTAAATAGAACGTATAGGTGTGAAAAGTATTAGTTATTAATAAATAATCTTTTTAGATATATTAGAATTTTGTTATACAGTTTAAACTATTATTTAACATTAATTTGGGAAATTTAACATTATATTATATATTAATATTAATATATATTATATTAACATTATATATATAATATAACATTATATTATATTTAAAATTAATTTTAAAAATCTTAAATTTTTTAATTACTTATTTAGAAA